TTGCATGAAGTCACTTATAATACCTATAATACATAAATTTGCCACGTCTCGACCCCACAAATCGCACATTTCTGCAACGCCAGTACAGGATGATTATTCATAAGGCTAATTTTTATCTAGAAAACAAAATTCACCTGGGCTATATCCTTCTAAAATTTGGCGTAGGAATTTTTTCATTCGCACAAATCCAAAATTGATAGATTTTTCTGTATTTTAAAATAACAAAAAAAACAATAGCATGAACAATTAGCGTTTTTATGGGGTTATATACAGTTGTACCGCGCAAAAAATGAAATTTTATCGATTTTTTTTTGACACAATAGAAAATATTTATTAAAAATGTTTTACCGACGTCGTTTAGTAAATGTTTCTGGGTACTTATTTAAATTTTTTCATAAAAAATATAAAATAATAAAAATGTTATAGCCGAATTCCAAGATCGTCTTTTTCGATGGTCTTTTTTTCGATGGTCTTTTTTCGATAGTGTCTGCGGTGGACATCATATCCCGATAACGGTTCATCCGAAATCAAAAATTCAAAAAATATTCGTATTGTATTCGTATGTATTGCCTAGTCCAAGAACGAAGGATTTGTAAAAATTTTGATTAAAAAAAAAATGACGACGGTTTTAACAAACAATTTACTTTTTCAAGGTATAAGATTTTTGATTTTTATGCTCTAAAAAAGGAGTTTCCAAAAAAATTTAAAATCCTTCGTTCACGGACAAGCTAATATCATAATAAATAATTGGTCAAAATTATCGGTGTTGGTGTTGATCGGATCAATAGTTTTTTAGTAATCGTGTATACAGCAAAGGTAATTTCGAAAAAACAAGATTCTGAGATAAAGTTTAAAGTTTTTTCAAGTTTGATGTGCAGGTAGTGCGCTATAAACAGCTACAACTTTGGTTCTAATGCTCCGATCGTTATGAATATTATATACATATATGTATATATATGAATATATGTATAAATTTTTAAGAATCATTAAAAACAATATACTGAGAACGGAGCAGGGTATATTTCAGTCGACATCACTTAAAACGCCGATTGCTTTTAAGTTTTTGTTGTTCTGCATGAGAACTGTGCTTGCATACCCTACCGATGAATGATTTTTAGAGTACCGGACAGCAATAAAAATATTAAAAAAAATTTTTTTTGGGACACTGCCTACGAATTTTTTTTGATTGAATGTATGATTTAAAAATTTAAATAGAAATTCCATTTATATATTTATACCCTTGCAGAGGGTATTATAATTTTGGTCAAAAGTGTGCAACGCAGTGAAGGAGACATCTCCGACCCTATGAAGTATATATATTCTTGATCAGGATCACCAGGAGTTGATATGAGCATGTCCGTCTGTCCGTCTGTCTGTCTGTTTCTACGCAAACTGGTCTCTCAATTTTAAAGCTATCGACTTGAAACATTGCACACACTCTTCTTTCCTTTGCACGCAAATTTTACACGAGAGCTATTTTTGGCAGAATAATACGACATGCCAAATTTCATATGGATCAGCCAACTATATCCTATAGCTGCCACATAACTGAACGATTGGAAATGACCCAACTTTCGTGTTTTTAAAGATAGAAAGCTGGAACTGAGTACAGAGTATATTTTTGTTGATCCGACCTACCAAATTTCATAACGATCGGCCGACTATATCTTATAGCTGTCATATAACTGAACGATCGGAAATGGTTTTTGGTAAAAATACCAACTTTGGTATGTTTGAAGATAGAAGTTTGGGACTTTTTTTAGATATTTTATTTTAATTACTTGGTTTAATTATGATATTCTCATAAGGATCGGCCAGCTATATCCGTTGTTTGCGATATATATCGGGTTTTAGCTGCAAGGGTATATCAACTTCGGCTCCGCCCGAAGTTAGCTTTCCTTTCTTGTTTTAATTGATGTTTACAACAAATTGTAGCAAAACCAATTTTTGGAAAATATTGGTTACATTGATTACATAAGATTAGATAAGATCTTATTTAGATAAGATTTTCTAAATAAGAAAATAACTTCACTATTAAAAAATTCTGCTCACTCCCCTAAAAGTCATCCATCGGTAGGGTATGCAAGCACAGTTCTCATGCAGAACAACAAAAACTTAAAAGCAATCGGCGTTTTAAGTGATGTCGACTGAAATATACCCTGTTAAAATATGTACATATATAAAAAACATTTTACTGCTAACACCTAATCTCAATCCTAAATAAATTTAAAATGTATGCTGAAATATTTAGAAATATAATATAACAAATAATATTATTTCTTTCGTAATTTCACCAAATGACGAGTACCCGCATTTTGTTAGGGTAGACAGCCTGAAAAGTTAGAAAAATCAAAATTTTGTGCGCTGGCTTCGAAACGAAATCGCACGCACACATGCCCCCGTGTATGTGAATGTGTGACAAGCATACATACAAAGAACAACTCAAGCGCAGACCAACCTTCATCGTCGCGCTCCTTTCAGCGACTGAGAAACAGAAAGCATTCTATGAGAATATGAGCGTAAGATGAACGAACGATGAGCTTAAGAAAGCGTAAGAAATCCTCTCTGGGGCCTGCTGGAGCCTGTCGCAAGAAATTTTTCCGTCCATTTTCGTTGTATGAAATAAGTTGTCTACATGCTGTATAGTTTGTAATAGTATTCAGATCGACAAGAACTGTTTTCAGCTATGGGAGTGAGTGAGAGGCAAACGGGTGAAAACAGTTTTTGACAGCGATTTCTCGCCACCCCGTACTTAGATCCAAAAAAATACCAGAAATTTACATGGGGATGCCAACCAGCACCAATGATCTTTTACAGGTCCCTAGCGAAGAGATTAAAGCATAGTACTGAGTTCACGAAAATCCGCTGCTGAAATTCCGATGGCGATTTTGCACTTTATTCAGCTACCGAGGTAGTGTGACCAAAAAAAATGAAGAAATAAGGTAATACTGAACAGTTGTTGTTTGTAAACAAAAAACCAATAATCAAAATGAATTCAAATCAATTGGATGTTGGTGTTTTGTTTATGTATTTCGCCGCTAAGGAGCTGATTAAGAAATAGAAAACTGGGTCAAAATCAAAATCAATCACAAATCATTTCAATGCCATTTTATGGAATTAAAATGCCCCTTGTGTGTCAAACCCCATATTATGGGCTTCGCCTTGACCGCAGAAATTAATTTTAATTTGTCCTGGCGCGTCGAAAATTTTTCGGGCCGACTATTTTTTTGTTTGGTCAATTGACCCTCCATGTCACACCTATAGAAATAAATTGAAATATTTCTTTTAATTCCCCGAGAGCAGCTGTTTTTTTTTTTTGATCCGGCAACACGATTAAAATCTATAACAAAAACAAAATTTTTCGTCAAATCAGTACCCGCAAAATCTAGAAGGCAAACATTTCTTCCTCTTCCCTTTTTTACACCGTTTTTTTATATGGAGTTTGACAGCTGTCACTCGTTGGACAGCGGATTTTCGTCAACTCAGTACTATGCTTAAAATTTGAAATCTTTCATCCAGTTTAACAGGGTCAGTAATATACTTGAAAGATATTTTTGGGGCTTTTTATACCCTTGCAGAGGGTATTATAATTTTGGTCAAAAGTGTGCAACGCAGTGAAGGAGACATCTCCGACCCTATAAAGTATATATATTCTTGATCAGGATCACCTCCTGAGTTGATATGAGCATGTCCGTCTGTCCGTCTGTCTGTTTCTACGCGAACTAGTCTCTCAGTTTTAAAGCTATCGACTTGAAACTTTGCACACACCCCTTTTTCCTTTGCACGCAGTATATAAGTCGGAACGGCCGGGATCGGCCGACTATATCCTATAGCTGCCATATAACTGATTGATCGGAAATGGTATAACTTTGGTGTTTTTAGAGTTATTTTGACATGAGAGCTATTTTTGGCAAAACATTACGACATGCCGAATTTCATAAGGATCGGCCGACTATATCCTATAGCTGCCATATAACTGAACGATCGGAAATGACCCAACTTTTGTGTTTTTGAAGCTGAAACTTAATACAGATTCTATTTTTGGTCAGTTGATCCAACCTACCAAATTTCATTAGGATCGGCCGACTATATCCTATAGCTGCCATATAACTGAACGATCGGAAATGGTACTTGGTAGAAATATCGACTTTCGTATTTTTGAAGATAGAAGTTTGGGACTTTTTTTAGATTTTTTATTTTAGTTAATTAGTTTTAATATGATGTAATCATAAGGATCGGCCAACTATACCCGATGTTTGCGATATATATCCGGTTTTAACTGCTAGGGTATATAAACTTCGTCTCCGCCCGAAGTTAGCTTTGCTTTCTGGTTTTGTTGTAATAATTAATAGAAAATTAATGTAAATGCTTGCCAAAGTGAAGTTGAAAGCGATGCGCTGAAAATTATAGATCTAATTAATTTAGTAGAAATTATCGTTAGAACAGATTTGTGGGGTAAACCATAGGTTGATGCCAATTTCATTGCACCAATTGGGCCAATTTGGACAAAAATTTTTCTATATTAATATTTTTACACCCAAATAGGTTCAGTTATTGCCAACATTGTCAATGCTGATTCAAATTCAAATTCAAATTAAATCAATTTTAGGAGGGTCCGTAGTGCGTAAAGATACATACGTTGACACTCGAAAAATAAACGTTTTTACTCGTCAATCATGTTTTTTAATCTCAGTACTAGGCTTTACAAAAATGGATTGCATGTGTATCACGGACCTTTCAAACGGGATGAAATATAAACATTTTTAATCTTTTCGCTAGAGACCTTTAAAACCTTTTTGGTGCTGGTTGGCATCCCCATGTAAATTTTTGGTATTTTATTTTAATCTGAGTACGATGTGGCGAAAAGACCCTGTCAAAAAGAGTTTTTCACCTATTTGCCTCTCGCTCACTTCCATAGCTGAAAAACAGTTTTTGTCGATCTGAGTACTATATGTATTTGCATCACGCTCACTCCCATGGCTTAAAAACAGTTGTGTCCATCTAGACTTCATTTTTACTTTTGAATGCTTTGACCTGGCAACACTGTCGGTGATGTTGATCAGTTTCAGAAATAGCCTTATTCATAGCTAATGTATTAGGCAATGCAAAGCTAAAAAAAAATTGTTTCCGTTTATGTTAATTTCGTTGAGCATTTAATAAGTTAACACAATGGAGACAGTTGGAAACCTGAATTTGGCTATAATCGCAGCCTCTATTGGGTTGCGATTCGCTTCTATTATTATGAATTTGATATTGGCATACAAGTACTGGGTAAGCGAATTTTATGCCTTTAGTGCCTGGACAGTAGGGTCAATCGTTGTGTCCATGGTCATTACATCGCTCATATATATACACATGTAAGCGCTCGTAAAATTAGAAACCTGCTTAGACCTAACTCAAAGTTTCAGCTCAAAGGCCAGTATATCAATACAGAAACGCATCCTCGACCAAGGCGTTTTTTTAAACGTTGTACTCGCTTATCTGTTCCGAGATGGTTATGCTTTCTATTATACAAGGAAACTCAAAAATATCAAGGAGGCTGGCGACCGTGAGGGGGAGATAATGTAAGTTAATCGTCTGTGGACTCTACCGTTTCGTACTTCTATAGATAAATTTATATACATGGACATATATATATCTATATATATATATACATATGTATATACATATATATATTAATATCTTTCATTTACTAATCGAGTGACATAAATTGAACAGACTATTTTGCGTTAATTAGAACCTGTTGTGGAGTTATCTAAGTTTTGCAAAAAATGTACCATACTATCAGACGTATCCTGTCATGCAGCTTTTGACGTTTTCAGTTCGTTATTGAGATAAAAAAGGATATATCCTTTATATATATGGATTTACATATATGGATTGTCAGCAACAAATTTTGGGCGGCGTCGCGAAACATTGACACAAACTTGATCTTCAAGGATACCATACGAGTCTAGCTCGAGTCTGATAGTTCTATAATTTATTATCATATATGTATATGAGACTACAAATCGGCTGATTGGAAAAAATTTGTTTTTCAGATATAAATCAACAAAAAAAATAGTTTGGGATCAAAAGTCTTTCAAAGACCCTTCCTTCACTGGCGCTACAGAAATTTGCAATTCACAAAGTGACAAAAATTTTAAAGAAACTTTAACTTTTTTTGATGCAAAACTGTATCAATGTCTAATCTACACCCACAAACCAACTTTTGGAGGAGTTATATACTTTTTAATCTCCTTCCCGTCTAAATCGAAAGTATAGCTGTAGGGGGAAGTAGGGGGGCTGCCGTTGTTTTTTTGCCCAAGCGTCAAAGTATGTAACAAATTTTTTTGCTGACAATCCATACCAGAGCTAAAACTTTTTGTAAAAAAAAAACATGTCTATGCTTTAACTTTGGTGTTTTCAGAGTTCGAGATTTTAGGTTTTTTCAGAGTAGTTGGATTTTGCATGAATGCTATTTTTGGCAAAATAATATGACATACCAAATTGAATCGGCCGACTATATCCAATAGCTGCCATATACCTACCGGAAATTACCCTACTTTCGTGTTTTGAAGATAAAAAGTTGGAACTTTGTACAGATTCTATTTTTGGTCAGTTGATCCGAACTAATTTTATAACGATCGGCTGAATATACCTTGTAGCGGCCATATAACGATTGTAAATGGTATTTGGTGAAAATACCAACTCTGGTGTTTTTGATGATAGAAGCTTGGGACTTTTTTTTTAGATTTTGTATGGTAAAAATTGGTTTTATTATAATATTCTCATAAGGATCGGCCAACTATATCCGATGTTTGCGATATATATACTGTTTTAACTGGTATATCAACTTCGGATCCGCCTGAAGTTAGCTTTCCTTTTGTTTATTTTTAATATAATATTATTTTTTAGAATTTTCACTTTGAAAATGATGTAGCGATAGTTCGACAGTTTTTGACTATTAGTTACTGGCCATTTCTAATGCGACAGTACGTTTAAGTTCTAAAAATGTAAGTAGTTTGGAATGTGATCAACAATCTTATCAGGCATAGAAAAAAAAACTATTATAAAAAGTATATTTTATAATAGCTTTTTTACATATTAAATAAGTATAAGGAATAATAATGTTAACGAATAATGTTTGTTTTTGTTCCTTTTTTAAGGGGGGACATCTGAGTAACAGGCGAAAAAAAACGGATTTTCTGGAATTTTTTTTGGCCAAATAAAAACAGCTAATCGAAAATTTTTAAATGGGGTTTTATTACTTTATATTTGAACTACACAATAAAATTTTTTTTTAACAAATCGAAAACAAAATGGCGGCCCTGCAGCCCTTATTCGTAGGCCCTATTTTTTTAAAGGGGGTCCATGGCCGAACACCTAACTTCCCTAATTTTTTATCTAGAACAAAAAATCAAGGTTGGTTAGTTTCTGTATCTCAACGGCTATCGACACACGTAGGATTTTTTCGATATATTGATTTTTTGCAAAATAGTGAGTGATTGAACAAAATTTTCAATTTTCACGAACAAAAAACGTCACAAAATTGTTGATAAAAAAAAAAGTAAGCAAAATACAAAAAAAACCTACGTGTGTCGATAGACATAGGTATTCTGAGTATACTGTCAAAATTAGATCGATAGGTTTAGAGTGGTTCGAGTTATGTGTTCGGCCAACTCAAAAAAAGTGGTTTCGAGAAAAACGCGTTTAAAGTTTTAAGTACTGTGGGATATACCTGTGAGGCATCGCCGCAGAATGGAAAATTTCGACACTTAGACACTTTGGCCGGACTCTATCTTTTGATATGTTATTTTTAAGACCGAAAAGAATTTTTTAAGCGAAAAAAAAAATTTTCGATTTTTTCAAAACTCTACTCAGATGTCCCCCCTTAATATTAATACTCAGTCTGTCTGAACTAAAAAACTTTATTCCAGATTGTACCAAAAGTTGATTTCTGAGGAGTGCAATGTTGGCTTCATCAGACTGTTTGATTCGTTCTTGGAATCCGCACCCCAAAAGATTTTGCAGCTTGTCATAGTTTTGTGGTCAATGAATGACTTGTCATGTAATACAACATCGAACAAAATATGCTGGTCAACGCAATTAGACGGCCTTAATAATTCCATATATAATACAATTTGATCTATTTATTTTCTGAACTAAAGAGCAAGTAAATTTATGCGTGGAGGAAATATGAATTGTGTTGGCATGTGTAATTTTTTGATAGCATTAAGGCATTTTTCGAGTAATTATAATGTATTATTCTCCTTTTCCAGACTTTCGACTGGCCACCTTTGTCGTATACTTCAGTAGCATTGCATGGGGCATACAATCATACAACAGATCGAATAGATTGGTTCAATTCGACAAGCGCGACATTGAATCAAAGGGCCGTCTCATTCAATTTGCTTTTCTGCTTTGCCTAACTAGTGAGTAGATTTTGGTAATGCATGTCTTTAGGTATTTTTCTTAAAAAAATGTATTCGCAGCTTCGAGAACACTGTGCATTGCTTGCTTAGCAAGTTTATTTCCAAAAGCCACTTTGGTTGTGTGTGCCGCTCATGTTTTCGTCTGCGTTTGTATAATTTTTGCTGTGGACTCCCCTACAATAGCGGACTCGCGACTTATGAACTGTCTGTACTGTGCATGCTTTGGAATAGTGTATCTATTTATTTTTACTTCTGTTAAGGACACTCCTACAAAGTACAAATATGTATTTTATCTTTCATTTTGCTCTTTTGAAAATATTGTAGCTTGCGTGCTGTTTTTTTCCTTACACATATCAATTTTCATAATAGCTCTGTATATTTTTGGCATTGTGCTTATAATAATATACTACTGGACATGCCATCCTAGTATTTCGCTTTCTACATTTCCTTTTACATTATGATGCTTTATATGTATATATACTAAACTAAGCTGTACTGTATATACTAAACTATACTAATATAAACTATTTTTTGAATTATGTTAAAGATGTTAAAGATATATAATGTAATATAAGATAGTAATATTCAAATTTATATTACATTAAATATATTATATAAGATATATTAAGATATATGTCGTCGCTCGGGTGGGAGTTGCCTTAAACATACGGCGGCGATGGGGCAACCCGCCTTAAAGCACCAATGTAGCTCCGTGTATATATGTATGTTTTATTCTAGTGGAAGTACAAGTTATAAAAAAGATGCTAATAATAATAATAAACATTACCGCAGTATAACCTCCCACACTCCATGGCTTTCGACGACAAATTCACCACCAAATTTACCAATTATCTACCTAGTGTGCCCAATCTCTTCATGAGGGCACAATACCAAATTTCAATAATAATACTTAATACTAAACTATCGATAATCGATCCGCGACATCCCCACCTCCGTGAAGAACCCCTTCACTCAAATCCAAAGCCGCCAACTTTGAAGCGGGGCGCATTATCCAGCGAGTCCGATCTCCATCCATGATCCTAACGCGGGCTCGTCTGACCTCACCATCCGTTCCAGTAAAGGCCTCCTCCACGACGCCTTTCCGCCAGTCTCGACGCGGAACGGCTGGATCGCAAACGAAGACGATGTCTCCTCGTTGAATAGGCTTCTCTCTGCGGCACCACTTCTCTCTCCGTGTCAGCGTGGGAAGGTACTCCAAGACCCACCTTTTCCAGAAACGGTCCCTCAGCATCCTTGCCACGCGCCACTGCTTTCGCGTAGCTCCTTCCTTAATGAGGCCTCCATTCAGGCCGGGTGTATCCGGTGGGCAAGCTGCTCCCTTGAGAAGATCGTTTGGCGTAAGAGGGGCTTCCTGGTCCGCACTCACTGGCAAATGGGTGAGCGGACGAGAGTTAACAATGTTCTCCGCCTCTATCGGGAAACTCCTCATTACGTGCTCCTTCGGCGCCACTTCCTTCACTGTTTGATGCAGCACCCTCTTCACGCACTGCACCATTCGCTCCCAGACTCCACCCTCTGAAGGGTTCGCTGGGCAATTGAAGATCCATTCAATGCCCTTACTTGACAGCTCCGACTGGATCCTCTCGGGCTCGAAGATCTCCGCAAATCTCTTGGCCTCCCTGTCAGCTCCAACGAAGTTCTTGCCGTTGTCGCTGCGCAGTCTATGTACAGGCCCTCGACGGCAGATGAAGTTCCTGATCGCAATTACGCAGGAGTCCGTAAACAGGTCATGTGCTAGTTCCAAGTGGATCGCCCTGGTCGTCAGGCATGTAAACAAGGCCACCCATCGTTTCTCTTGGTGCCGAGCAACGGTCACTAGCAGTGGTCCAAAGTAATCGAGGCCCGTGCTCTTAAACGGCCAGCCATAGGCCTCCAAACGATCCTCTGGCAGAGGTCCCATAATCGGCGCCATCGGTCGTACTCTGTTCAGCTTACACTCGCTGCATCCCGAGATCACATTGCGAAGCACTCTCCGCAGGCTCGTAATGCAGAACCTGGTCCGGATTTCCGTCATCGTAGCATCCACGTTTTGATGCTTCATCCTCACATGGGCATCGTGCACAATCATCTCCGTGAGACCGTGTCGGTGGGAGAGGATCACAGGCCTCCTGGCGCTGTACGGCAAACATAGCGCCGCATCAATCCTGCCATACGCTCGCAGGACTCCATTGCCATCTAGGTATGGCGCCAGTCCACATTTGTCGCTTCCTTTAGCGACATCCAGGCCATTCTCGGCGGCCTGCATCTCGTCGGGGAACGCCTCACGGTGTGCTATACGGACTAACCAGTCCTCAGCTGCTTCACACTCAGCTGCAGTGAGGCCGTAGTTCTCAAGCTCGTCTCGTTGTCCACGGCATCGACGTGTGAACCTTAGGACCCAGGCCGTAGTCCTCAACAATCGCCTGTAGCTTGAGAATCTCTGCAAGGATATAAACGTGTCACTCGTGCCAACGAGCATAAACTCACTCGGCATTTCCTCTTCATCTTCTGCGTCCGCTTCGTCGGTAGGTGCGCTTCCCGGCCAGCAACTCGGTGATCTCCTCAGGAATGCCGGTCCTTTTAACCAGCGTGACTCCTCGCTCAGGTCTACGCTGCGTTGCGCCCGAGTCGCATCATCCGCCACGTTGTCGGCGGACGGTAGCCATCTCCATTGGGCCACCTTCGTTGACTCCAGAATCTCAGCCACTCTGTTCCCTACGAACTGTTTGTAGCGCCTGTGCGTGCTGCCAATCCAACGCAGCACTGTCTTTGAATCCGTCCATAGCACAATCTCTGCAATGGGAACACTATGGTCCTGCCTGACTGTGTCCATCAATCTCGTTCCTAGAACTGCTGCCTGCAGCTCCAACCGTGGAATCGTCATCGTTCGCATAGGTGCACACTTTGTCTTTGCGCACACGAACTTCACTTGCACGTCGCCGTCCTCATACGTGATTCTCCAGTAGACCACTGCCGCGAATGCCGACTGACTCGCATCCACGAAAACGTGCATCTCGATAGTCTTCACCAGTCCAGATCCAAAATAGTGACGTGGGCTCCGAAAGTTTTCCACTTTATCCATTTCCTTACGCCAATCCATAAAGGCGTTGTACATCTCAGCCGGTAGTGGCTCGTCCCATGAGATCCTCTTTCTCCAGACTTCTCGCAACAGCAACTTCGCTGTTACCATTAGGCAACACAGAAATCCCAAGGGGTCAAACGTTGACATGACCATACTCAAGAATTCCCTTTTTGTGGCAATTCTCTTCCCATCGGATACGATGGGGGCAACTTTTCGGTACTTCACTCGAAACCTGAAGTCGTCCGTGGCTGGCTGCCACCGCATTCCCAAAATCTTTTGCTCGGCTTCACCCCATCCAATACTCTGGGCGTGGTCACTGGGTCCGAGCATCCTCTCTACTGTAGGCGAACTAGACGAAAACTTGCAAAGCTCAAAACCGCCTTCTGCATGTATCTCCTTTACTCTAGTAGATACTTCGATAGCTTCCCTCTCTGTGGCGAAGCTGTCCACGTAGTCATCCACGTAGTGGTAGTCCTCGATGGCCTTGACTGCTCTGGGATCCGAATCCTGGAATCGCTTGGAATTCGCTGTCTTCACGTGATGAGCCGCACTCGGTGAGCATGGGGCTCCAAAGGTCATCACGCACATTTCATAAACGTCGTGGTCTCGTTGGTTATCCCCATCTCTCCACAGAAATCGTTGCGCACATCTATCTTCGGGTCGGATCAGCACCTGGTGAAACATTTCCTTAATGTCACTGCAGACTCCGACAGCACCTTCTCTAAAATGGAAGAGGATAGATGCCAAGGCCTTATAGTGTTGCGGCCCCTTGCTCAGCGCAGAATTCAGCGATACTTCTCCAACTCGTGCCGCTGCATCGAATACCAATCGAATCTTTCCTGGCTTGTTGGGATTCTCCACTCCAAAATGTGGCAAGTACCATATCCTATCGCCTCCCATAGCGATCTCCTGTCGCTCCAGACGCCGAGCGTATCCCTTGACGACGTAATCATTGATAATCCGTGAGTACTCTTGGGCGAACTGCCCATCTCGCTTTATTTTCTTTTCGATATTGACCAACCTATTATACGCCATATCATAACTACGAGGCAGCACGATGTTATCCGTTTTCCACAGTAATCCCGTCTGGTATCGGCGGCCAACTCGCACCGTAGTGTCCTCCAAGATCTTCTGAGCCCTCACGTCGTCGCTGGCTGCGGCCGCTGGCGCCGCCTTCACACCGAAGTTCTCGATCTCGAAGTAGTCCTCGACGATCCGTTCCACATTATTATCCAACGACGTGGCTAGCAGACAAGGGTGCGGTGATGGCGTGTCTCGTCGTCCTTCTACAGGCCCAAAAACGACCCATCCTAATGCGGTTGCGGCGGCGTACGGTCCCTCTCTGGCGAAGCGTCTCGTTCTCAATGGCAATCCTAAATGCCCATGATCCAATCCAATAAGTAGCTTCGGCACTGCATTTTCGTAGGGCTTCATCGGTAATCGAGCGTACTTGTTCACGCTCCTGACATCTCTTCTGTGCAGGCTCTGCATCGGCAAACTCAGTTTCGGAACGGCATACACGTTTCTCAGCACATGTCGGGAAGAGTTGCCTGCTTCACTAATCTGCAGACGTACCACGTTCGACGGCTCTCTTGCGGCCATGCCTCCGAACCATTGAATGTTCAGCTGACGACGTACTCCTTGTACGCCTAGCTCTGCAACCAGCTCTTTGTCGATCATCGTCACCGAAGAACCTTCGTCCAGGAGAGCGTACGTATCCACCTGCTTCCCACCTCCGTATAGCGTCACCGGCAATATACGGAACAGTAGTCGTTCTCGGTCCTCGTCGACACAGCTCAAATTCCTTTCCGGCGTCGCAGGAGCATCCACGGATGACGCTGCTCCTTCATTGAACCGGACGCTTTCCCTAGGTTCGACTGCCTGTCGGTCCCGGTTGTAGCTTCTCCAATGGCCGCCTCGCTGTGGCGATCTCCTGAAGCCTTCATTGCTTGCCTCATGAAGAAGACGGTGATGCTTCCTCCTGCATCCATTCATGGGGCACTCTCCTGACGTAGCGCACGATCCAGTCATATGCCCGCTTTGCAAGCACATGAAGCACAAGCGATGTCTTCTTGCGAGCCTCCACCTGTCTGTAGTCGTGGCTCCAATAAATCTTTGGCAGTCCCAAACTGCATGTTGTCCAAGGCCTTCGCATATTGGACAATTCCTGAGGCAGCTCTCCTGTTGCTCGTCCTGCTCATGGTCGATGCTGGCATGAAGCAATCGACGCCTTGGCTCCTTTCCATCAATGTCCGCCACCATGCAGACCACGTTCGCTAGTTCCATCAACCACGAACTAAAATCCACAATAGTCGGAAAGGGCTGAATAGTTAAAGCGTGCCTTGCCCACTCCACTCGTTTGCTTATCGGGAGCTTGGCCACAAGGTCTTCCATCAGGGTAGGGTTACCCAGGTGCTGCTCTGCCTTCGCCGACTGCAAGAAGGCCTTGAGGTTACTCACATGTGTGGGCGTATGCGACGAGCTTTCCTAAATTGTGTTCCGAAATTGCGGGCACATCTCGAAGGCTGTTGAGCTGGCTGCGTATTAGTTGCTCTGGTCGTCCATATCTGAAACGCAGCTGCTCCATCGCTGCATTCGCATTGCTGGGGTGAATCAACAGCGCCTTGACCGTCTCACGCGCGTCATCCTTTAACGCCTTCAGTAGCCTTTGGTTGTTCTCCAAGTCCGTACAACCATATGCTTGCGTCGTTTCCGTAAACGCGCAATAGAAGATGGGCCAATCCTCTGGCTTCCCTCCAAACGTAGGCAGCTCAGGAAGCTTTCGTGGGGCCCAGCTTGCATTTCCTCCAATACTCGTCGCCCAACACCGTATCCAGGAGAAGGCGCTCGTACTGATGTTCCGCCGGCCGCTTCGTTGTGTAGCCCGAAGCCATGCGCTGGAACCGTAGTGCCGGTAGCGAAAAATGGCGATGCGTGAGTAGTCCTAGTACACGGTACCGTTTGGGATCCGCTCCAAGATGGCAGTCTCCCTGACGCCATATGAAAGGCACTTGTTGGGTTAGGTACGGTCAGGCCGGTTGCAAATGGCGGTTGCTGACCTACCCCAACCTCACTCGACATAACGGGGTCAGTGCGCTGCACGTTACTGCTGCGAGCGCGTTTCAACTCCTTCTCCAGCTCGGCGATCCTCTCCAAGAGGTCGGCCACCTTCGGTTTGTTGGCGGCTCCAGATGCTGCCGGCTGAGCAGATGACACCGGCGCTTTACTGCTTCGGCCGCCATCTTGCGGCGTCCCTGCGCTCGGTTGCGGAACCAATACGCTGCCATCCATTTGCGTCACGATATCCTCTCTCTCGTTTAGTCGAGGACTCCTTCTGGGCGAATGCTGCATCATGCACTTTGCGCTGTCTGCGCAAGATCAACCCTCTCACCAGGGTGCTACTCCAGATCCAAGTCGCCAGTCGCCTGACTGCGAATAAAAGCTTCTGTCGTCGCTCGGGTGGGAGTTGCCTTAAACATACGGCGGCGATGGGGCAACCCGCCTTAAAACACCAATGTAGCTCCGTGTATATATGTATGTTTTATTCTAGTGGAAGTACAAGTTATAGAAAAGATGCTAATAATAATAATAAACATTACCGCAGTATAACCTCCCACACTCCATGGCTTTCGACGACAAATTCACCACCAAATTCACCAATTATCTACCTAGTGTGCCCAATCTCTTCATGAGGGCACAATACCAGATTTCAATAATAATACTTAATACTAAACTATCGATAATCGATCCGCGACAATATATTAAAATAATATAATAACTATAAGATGTCGGGTACCGAAATTTATATACTCTTAAGAGTTAAGTTCGGATTTATATCGCTAACTATATCCCTATGGGAATATAGTTCTTCAAATATACAATGTGTACCAACCTCCTAAATTTAAAAAAACACTAAAGTTAAGGCATTTCCGATCGACCGATATTCTTCGGTTTGGGGGTGAAACCCCTTTTGATTTGGATGATAAATAAAACCTACAACGTAGCTCCTTAAGGTGTCTTAGCCAAACGCGTCATAGCAGAAATTATTAGCCTCCGGTCAGGAGCCGGGCCCCAGAACAGTCATGTGTCAGTCGCCCCTAATAAAAATACATAGATACTTCGAATAAATTATGAGTTAGCGGAGACCAAATCATAAGTTTATACACTACACTACATTGTTACAGTTTTATCCACTATCCATGGACATGGATTTCTAAGTGTTCAAAAGCGAGGACTATTTCTTCCTCTTCGGCAAACGCGGGCTTTACTTGTTGGTCAAGGATTAAACTGCTGATAGGCGGCCAGATATGTTCCATTTTTTGTGACAGGAAGGATTTCTGACAGGGGAAAGATTAATCACCATCTAGTGACCATCGTCGTTCTGCATAGCTATGGCGGACATGCCGACATCGACTCGGCTGTTGATGCTAATGAAGAATATACATATAAACTTTATGAGGTCAAACATAATTTTTTCTGTTACAAACATTCACACTATACTCTTGTACTGCGACTGCTAGTACTTCTATAATATATACACATATAAAACAAGAAAGCCAAGCTAACTTCGGGCGGAGCCGAAGTTGATATACCCTTGCAGTTAAAACCGGATATATATCGCAAACATCGGATATAGTTGGCCGATCCTTATGGGAATAGGAATATATAATCCATATAACAGGCATGCTCCGGTTCTCACTTTCGGTTTTCGTTTTCGTTTTGAAAACGAAAACGAAAAAATTGGTGCTCCCGTTTTCACTTTCACAAGATTTTTTCGAATTCAAAAACGAAAAAATTTGTCTTGCCTAAATGAAAAGTAAATGCCTTTTTCTATATTAAATCGGATCTTATTTGCAAAAGGAAAAAAATAGTTGACTTATTGGTTTATTGTCGTTCTATTAAGACCTCTAGAAGATCAATTAGGCTTGTAGTTATTTTTAAAACGAGTAATTTCTGACCCCACCTCAAATTCGGATATCAAATTTTGCCGTCGGCAACAACAATTTTCGTTTTGGTGAACGAACGATAAGTTTGATACCTTAAGTTATCGCCCAAGCTGCCATAATTTTGATAGAATAAAAAAGCAAGTTAAAAATACTTGTATAATCAAATGGATGGCGATAAATTTGTTGAAATTAGGTAAAATACGTTTTTTAAAAATTAATTAATTTAATTTAATTAGTTATGTGCTAAAAGTGTATAAAAAAAATTGTTGAAAACACCGGAATGAAATGAAAATGAAATCCATTGAAAAGGTGGCATTCCCTTAACTTGGTTTTTCTGGCTTTTCCCCTTAATTCTTTTGGCTACAAAAGACGCAACTGAATATAAAAAAGGCATTTTTTCGCGTTGTTTGCTGCTGACCAAACCTCAAATCACCTGTTTCGGCAGCAAGAGAAATGAGAAATTAAACGTTTCGATAGCAAAACGATAACTAAAAACTTGTGAAAACCGGAGCACCTAAAAACGAAAATCTCGGTTTTGGTCCCAAAACGAAAACAAAAACCGAAAGTGAGAACCGGAGCATGCCTGATAATAATAAATCCTATAATTTATAACAAAACAAAATCTAAAAAAAGTCCCAAACTTCTATCTTCAAAAATACGAAAGTTGATATTTCTACGAAATTCCAAATTCGTTCAGTTATATGGAAGCTATAGGATATAGTCGGCCGATCCTAATGAAATTTGGTAGGTCGGATCACCTGACCAAATATATAATCTGTACCAAGTTCCAGATTTCTATCTTCAAAAACACGAAAGTTGGGTCATTTCCGATCGTTCAGTTATATGGCAGCTATAGGATATAGTCGGCCGATCCTTACGAAATGTGGCATGTCGTATTATTTTGCCAAAAATAGCTCTCATGTCAAATTTGAACTCTAACTCTAAAAACACCAAAGTTATACCATTTCCGATCAATCAGTTATATGGCAGCTATAGGATATAGTCGGCCGATCCGGGCCGTTCCGACTTATATACTGCGTGCAAAGGAAAGAAGGGTGTGTGCAAAGTTTCAAGACGATAGCTTTAAAACTGAGAGACTAGTTTGCGTAGAAACAGACAGACGGACAGACAGACGGACAGACGGACATGCTCATATCAACTCAGGAGGTGATCCTGATCAAGAATATATATACTTTATAGGGTCTGAGATGTCTCCTTCACTGCGTTGCACACTTTTGACCAAAATTATAATACCCTCTGCAAGGGTATAACAACCCAACATATACATACATAAAAGCCCAACGAAGGCTTCGAATTACAGCCCGGGAAGTATTTTAATTCAGTCTTAAGTAGAACTCCGCAGCCGTAGCTCGCGTTTACATTTTATCAAATACCATTTCCGATCGTTCAGTTATATGCCAGCTATAAGATATAGTCGACCGATCGTTATGAAATTTAGTAGGTCGGATTAACTGACCAAAAATATACTCTGTACTCAGTTCCAGCTTTTTAACTTTAAAAACACGAAAATTGGGTCATTTCCAATCGTTCAGTTATGTGGCAGCTATAGGATATAGTTGGCTGATCCATATGAAATTTGGCATGTCGTATTATTCTGCCAAAAATAGCTCTCGTGTAAAATTTGCGTGCAAAGGAAAGAAGAGTGTGTGCAATGTTTCAAGTCGATAGCTTTAAAACTGACAGACTAGTTTGCGTAGAAATAGACAGACAGACGGACAGAATCAAAGGTCAATTCAAAAGGAGGTGATCCTGATCAAAAATATATACACTTTATAGGGTCGGAGATGTCTCCTTGACTGCGTTGCACACTTTTGAACAAAATTATAATACCCTCTGCGACGGTATAAAAACTGTTATTGCATTGTTAAGCATTGATACATTTTTTGATTTTTTTTATTCCATTTGGCGCTTGGAACTCAGCCGACATTAATGCAGCCACTTATATCTCTGGCCACCCCAAGGGCTAGAACTGAGAAAAATTCGTCAGAATTTCTCAGGGATAATGAACAATTGTCTGATATGTCCGCCATGGCATCCCTTCAAATAATGCCACAGGTCCTAGGGAACGAAACCCCCATTAGAGTCACCCAAAAGGGTATTCCACAGTCCGGACCACCGGCACCGACTGCGGATGCTGCAGTTCTCGTACCTGCGACACCAAAATCCTTACAGGTGATTCCTCCATCGAAACATATATTTGTTTCTCGGCTTGCCCCTGATACTTCAGAGATTGATATCTTGGCTTATATCAAAGCCAAAACAAAAGCCGATAGAAAGGTGGAGGACATAACTAAATTTAAATATAATTATACACGGCGTACGTCTTCTTTCGAGTTTCGTGTGCCCGCGCTGATGTTCAAGACGATTTGTTCTCCCAGTTTTTGGCCAGAGAATCTTTTCGTCCAAGAACATCAGCCTAGTTCCGTGAAGAAAAAAGTTAAAAAACCAGTGGGAGTGAGACTTCCCAATATCGGAACCACTGACCAACCCTCCACCTCTTCTTTGGCCACTAACCCAAAAAACTAGTTTCCTCACTAACTCTTACCTATCAGAATACTAGGGGGCTACGTAGCAAACTCCCCAAGCTATATTCTGATAGTTCTTTCTTTGCATCCCATATACATAATAGCATTTACAGAAACTTGGTTAAATCCGGAGATCTTTAGCTCCGAAGTTTTTCCAAGTAAGTACACCACTTTTAGACGGGATCGACCTCAGCGAAGGGGGGGTGGAATCCTCATTTCGGTAGACTTTACTCTTGCTTCTGAAGAGGTGAAATCCCAAGAGTTTGGTGACATAGAATTTATTTGCGTTTAAATCACTATGTCCGTTAAATCTTTATACATTACATGTTCATATATACCTCCTATGTCTGAACCGCCTGCATATTGGCAGCATTTGTCCGCCATTCGATACGTCTTTAATCTTAATACGGATCGTGACCACGAGTTGGTGAGCGACTTCAATATCCCAGAATTAAAGTGGTCCAACGTCGATAACTCACCATCTTTGTCACTTATAACTTACCATGACTTCACCGCGGGCATGTTCCTAGGTCAGATCAACCATGTTTGAAATTCGCAAGGTCGGCTTTTAGACTTATGTTTTGTATCTGATCCTGATGGTACTGCTCTCTCCAGAGCTTTTCCCCTTTCAACCCCAGAGGATCCATATCACCCCATGCTGGAGGTCTCAATCGAACTCCTGGTATCGATCAGATGTCTCCGAGCGTGGTAAATAAGATTCGCTGTTTCCGTAAAGCTGATTTTCAGAAACTTAATAGCCTTATCGATACATTCTGATATTCTGGCGTTCACTGATCTTAATGTCACTTTAGAAAAATTTTATTTTTCTTTAAATACATTTTTTGACTCATGTGTGCCTTGGAAACATCCGTCCGCTTCAACAAATCCTCCTTGGTTTGCAAGGTGCCTCACTAACCTAAAAAATAAAAAAAATAAGCTTTTACTTAAATATAAAAAACCTGCAGTAGTGTTGATTTGTGCATAACGCTGAATGTTATAGGAATTATATTAACTGCTGCCGGATACAATTTACTCAGGATCCAAAGCAGTTTTATAATTTTGTAAACACTAAGCGTAAACACGTATCTTTTTCACCCCTGCTTACGTTTGAAAATTTCTCTGCGACCTCTGATCAGGCCATTGCCGATCTATTCGCAGAATTTTTTCAAACAACTTACTCTCCGCCTAATTTGACAGATCAGCCTTACGCATATAACATTCAAGCAGCAAATATTATTTTCTGTCCGTTTTTTTCTGAGAACAACTTATTATCTGGTCTTTTAAGGGTAAAACCCATTTATTCGCCAGGCCCCGACGGAGTACCAGGCTGTTTGCTAAAATACTGCGCCAGGGCTTTGTGCAAACCTTTTCAAAGACTTTTCAACTTATCTTTGGAAAC